AGTTTGGCTACCCCCGGTCTAGCCTGTGATGGAGGTGGTAGATCCTGGGTCTCAAACCTCTTTTGAGTCTGTGGGCACCTCTGGAATTCTGACACAGGGTGGTGGGCGCAACCACAAAATGTCTGCCACCGAAGGTGGTTGTTGTTCAGTCGCACAGTCGAGTCCAACTCTTCGCGACCCCATGGACAAGATCACGCCAGGCCCTCCTGTCTTCCGCCGTCCTCTGAAGTTTGCTCAATTTCATGTTTGTTGCATCTATGACACTGTCTAACCATCTCATCCTTTGCCGTCCCCGTCTTCTTTGACCTTGTTTGAGAGAAGGGGGAGCCAACCACAAAATGGCTGCTGCAGGAGGCGGAGTCAACCTCAAAATGGAGTCGACCACAAATTATCATGGAGTGAAGCTGTAAAGTAACCCTAACAGCAACTCTTCAACCTTTCAGACCAAACCTCTGGTTTACGTGGTGCCTTTTAAAAAGGAGATATTGTTTTCATAATGTTTTCTGGCATATGCATGTGGCTTACCTTCAGTCATGCTGTGAAGATCCTTGGGCTGAGTGGCAAAGCAATGTTGTTGCTGTTTTTTTAAATCTGCACAGTCAACGGAATCTCCAGTGGCTGATCAGGAGACCTGCAGTGCAAAATCCCCCCCCCCCGGGCCCCACCCACTGTCTAAAAAAAACCCTTCAAAAGGGAATTAGATAAGCCTATGGAGCAGAGGTCCATCAGTGGCTATTGGCCACAAGGTATAGATAGGGGCTCTGGGGCAAGTGATGCTCTGTCTTCTTGGTGCTTGGGGGTGGGGGGTCAACAGTGGGAGGGCTTCTAATGTCCTGGCCCCACTGATGGACCTCCTGATGGAACCTGGTATTTCTGGCCACTGTGTGACACAGAGTGTTGGACTGGATGGGCCTTTGGCCTGATCCAACATTGGCTTCTCTTGGTGGCCCCTTGTTGGGCACCAGGAAAGGTGTTGGTGGGAACCGGGGTGACCAAGGGTACCACGTTGAGGAAGCATGAGATAGAGCCTCTGCTTGGCCTGCAGATGGTCCCAGGTTCAGTCCCCAGCACCTCCAGGTGAACAGATCAGGTAGGAGGTGATGTGAAAGAACGCCGCTTGAGACCCTGGAGAGCCACTGTCAGCCAGGAGAGATGTCTGACCTCGACAGGCCAATGCACTGCTTCTTGTGTAGCCCCTGGGAGACTTCAGGGAAAAGTCAGCCTTCCTCCGAAGCTTACTCTGAGAAGGGAGCGTAACAGCAGGGTCTCAGTTAATTACTCTCAGCCTTCCACCGGTAAGGATGCCTCTGCCCACCAGTCTCCAACTCTGACATATTTATTTCCTTCACGGTGTGCGAAGGAATTAAACCCAAGCAAATGGTGACCATCTAAACTAAGCTTGTTATTTCTGTTTGGTCCTCGCATCTGTTGAACGTCTTCATTACGCTGGATGCTGATTTGCTGCCCACCCTCTGCCTGTATGTGTGGAATGGAAATTTCCATTTCATTGTATCTGAAGAGGTCCGCGTGCCCACGAAAGGTTATACCTTGAATGAAATGTTGTTGGTCTTAAAGGTGCCCCTGGATTCAGACTTTGTTTTGTTGCCTCAGACCATTTCTATTAAAGAAGAGGAGGAGGAGGAGGAGGAGGAGGAGGAGATTTGATTTATACCCTGCCTGAAGGAGTCTCAGAGCGGCTTACAATCTCCTTTCCCTTCTCCTCCCCACCACAGACACCCTGTGAGGTAGTTGGGGCTGAGAGAGCTCTGTAGTTTGGTGTAGTGGTTAAGTGTGCGGACTCTAATCTGGGAGAACCGGGTTTGATTCCCCACTCCTCCACTTGCACCTGCTGATGTGACCTTGGGCAAGCCATAGTTCTGGCACAGCTGTTCTTGAAAAAGAGCAGTTTCTGTCAGAGCTCTCTCAGCCCCACCAACCTCACAGGGTGTCTGTTGTGGAAAAGGGAAGGGAAAGGAGTTTGTGAGCCACTCTGAGACTCCCTTGGGTAGTAAAGGACGGGGTATAAATCCAATCTCTTCTTCTTCTTCCCTTGAGAGCCAGTTTGGTGTAGTGGTTAAGTGCACGGACTCTAATCTGGGAGAACCGGGTTTGATTCCCCACTCCTCCACTCGCACCTGGCTGGATGACCTTGGGCAAGCCATAGGTCTGATAAGAGCTGTTCTCTCAGCCCCACCTACCTCACAGGGTGTCTGTTGTGGGGAGGGGAAGGGAAAGGACTTTGTAAGCCGCTCTGAGACACCTTTGGGTAGTGAAGGGCGGGGTATAAATCCAATCTCTTCTCTTCTTCTTCTCTTCTCTTTCCAGATCTGCTCATGAGAGAACAGCTCTGAGAGAACTCATGACTGGTCCAAGGTCACACCAGCAGCTGCATGTGGAGGAGTGAGGAATCAAACCTGGTTCTCCCAGACTGGAGTTTGCTCTCTTAACCCCTACACCAAACTTTCTCTTGGTCCTGTCACGGTTACTCCAGAAAGAGCATAGGGAGGGGGGGCCAGAGAGGAAGGACTACACTTTCCCAGCCTCCCCAAAGCAGTTCAGCAACTGAAGCAATAGCCCACCCGATCTCTCACCAGGGGGCTGCCCCCCCACATGTCACTTTGAGACCTAAGGCCAAGTTTGGCAGGCTAAACTTTGCATCTCGCACACTGATTCCTCGCCCAGACAAACACAGGTAGGCTGCATTGAGAGATGGCCTAAAAATGTCCAAATTCTTTGGCAGATAAGCAATGGGGGGGGGGGGGGAGAGAACGCTCTCTTAAACAACAAGCCCTGACTTGATTTTAGGAAACCACAGGGGTCATTTCGTAGAAAAAGAGGTGCAGGAGCTCCTTAGCATAGCTCATTAGCATTTATAGACCGAGTCTGAGCAGCAAATTAACATGTTACATGATAGAACAGGAATATTGGTTTCTGATCTCATTTCATATGCTAACCCACTCAGTCCTCACATATGTATTCCCATACAGAGGGACTATACATCCTCTCTGTATTAGTGTGTTTCTTTTTCAGAATAGTGAAGAGGACCTAAAGAGCCTCTTGCTCAGGGTAAAAGAGGAGAGCACAAAAGTGGGCTTGAAGCTCAACATCAAAAAAACTAAGATCATGGCATCCGGTCCCATCACTCCTTGGCAAATAGAAGGGGAAGTCGTGGAAGTAGTGACAGACTTCACGTTCCTGGGATCCCAGATCACCGCAGACTGTGACTGCAGCCATGAAATTAAAAGACGCCTGCTACTTGGGAGGAAAGCGATGGCGAACCTAAACAGCATGATAAAAAGTAGAGACATCACCCTGCCAACAAAAGTCCGCATGGTCAAAGCAATGGTATTCCCAGTAGTCATGTATGGCTGCGAGAGTTGGACGATAAGGAAGGCCGAGCGCCGAAGAATAGATTCTTTTGAACTATGGTGCTGGAGAAGACTCTTGAGAGTCCCTTGGACTGCAAGAAGAACAAATCAGTCAATCCTAAAAGAAATCAACCCTGACTGTTCCCTGGAAGGCCAGATAATGAAACTGAAGCTCAAATACTTTGGCCACCAAATGAGAAGGGAGCACTCACTGGAGAAGACCCTGATGCTGGGAAAGATTGAAGGTCAAAGAAGACGGGGACGGCAAAGGATGAGATGGTTAGACAGTGTCATTGATGCAATGAACATGAAGTTGAGCAAACTTCAGAGGACGGTGGAAGACCGGAAGGCCTGGCATGATCTGGTCCATGGGGTCGCAAAGAGTCGGACTCGACTGTGCGACTGAACAACAAAAAATATTAGAATACTGAATGTAATACAAGGAATATCGGAATGTTTGGCTGACATAAAACAACACCCATCTCAAAAAGGGGGGGGGGAATGCTATTTAGTGACCTTCATACCTGAGAGGAGATGGATTAAGAGTCTCAGTCTTATTTTGTTATATTGATTGCTTGACAACTGTTGACCTTATAACTTTAGCTTGTTAAGTGGTTTGTCTTCGCATATCTTAAAACATCTTCATCGTGGTACATGTTAATTTACTGTTCAGCCCTCTGTGTATAAGTTTGAACGCTCCCTTCCATTCCAGTGTATTTGAAAAAGTGTGCATCCACACGAAAGCTCATACCTTGAATAAAACTTTGTTGGTCTTAAAGGTGCCACAGGACTCTAGATTTGTTCAAGGCATTTTGGTGCTTCAGACAAGGGGTCTCGTCTGTGCCACCACAGTTGGCTGAGTCAAGAGCCAGAACATAAGAGAAGCCAATGGTGGATCAGGCCAATGGCTCATCCAGTCCAACGCTCTGTGTCACACAGTGGCCAAAAAGACCAGGTGCCATCAGGAGGCCCAGCAGTGGGGCCAGGACACTAGAAGCCCTCCCACTGTTGCCCCCCCCCCAAGCACCAATAATACAGAGCACCACTTGCCCCAGATCGAGAGTTCCTATCTATACCTTGTGGCTAATAGCCACTGATGGACCTCTGCTCCAGATGCTTATCTAATTCCCTCTTGAAGCCGTCCATGCTTGTAGCCGCCACCACCTCCTGCGGCAGTGAATTCCATGTGTTAATCACTCTTAGGGTGAAGAAGGACCTTTTATCTGTTCTGACCCGACTGCTCAGCAATTTCATGGAGTGCCCACGGGCTAATATTGACCCCTGTTGTCTGGAGTTCAGTTGTAATTTCAGGAGATCTCCAGGCCCCACCTGGTAGTTGGCAACTCTCCTTCCTCTGGTCACCTCCTCCTGCATTTCTTGATTCTCTGGAGGGTGTTTCCCACCCAGTGCATTTCCCTTTAATTGAGAGACCTCAAGTGATCAGCTTAGTTCTGGCACCTTTTCTGTACTGGAGCCAAACGCTGCAGAGATCAGATTGCAAGTTGCCTTTGGAAAGACCCGCTTGCTGCTCATGTTGTTGGCCGCCCACGTCACGTGGACCCCGGCTATCTTTAGATGAAAGAATGTATACTACAAACTTTGCAGCTCCTTAGCTGCCGGAGCAGATGCAGAAAGGCAGAAGCGGCACGGACATCCCCCGAAGGGCACGCTGGTCTCCGCTTGCGTTCCCGCTGGCAGACCAAGGAACAGAAGGAGACCCCGGCAACCCATCCGGCCCTCGGCTTGACCATGCAGTCGCACCTTACGGAGCGGGTGCAGGTCCAGGTAGAAGAAGAGGTCTTCTTTGTGGACAAAGCTCTTCTGGTGGAACACAGCGAATACTTCCGCGCCCTCTTCCAGTCCGGCATGAAAGAGAGCACGCAGAAAGAGATCCGGATCCGGGATCTGAGCGCCACGGGTTTCCTCATCATGTTGAAAATCCTAGAGGGGGGTTACCCTACGCTGGGCTGCGAGGAGAACCTCCGGGCGGTGGAGTGCGCCGCCTTCCTGCAGGTCAAGGCCATGGCTCGATATCTGATCAGCTCCATCAATTCTGATAACTGCATCATCCTGTACCAAGCGGCGGCCATGTTTGGACTTCTGGATCTCTTCCACAGTGCCGCGCTGTACATAAGGGACAGTTATTCTGACCTAGAAGAGTACCTGGACTGCCTCTCTTCAGAACTTCTGGATTACGTCGAGTCCCTTATCCCCAGCACCTTTGTGGCCGTGGGAGCCCACACGCCCACTTTTGAGTTCTTGGAGGACCTCTCGCGAACCATCTGCTACCTGGACGAGGAGAGCAACACCTGGAGGACGCTCTCCTGTTTACCGCTGAGGGCCAGCACCTTCCTCGCCGGCATGGCCATGACGGATAACAAGATTTACATTGTGGGCGGGGTCCACGGTTACAACAAGCAAATCGTGGACCACAGCTTCTGCTACGACGCCACGACGGACACCTGGAGCGAGTTCTCCAGCCCTCAGCAGCTCCGCTACGATGTCACGCTGATGGCCCACGGAGACGACCTGTACGCCATCGGTGGGGAGTTTGAGAAGACCCCGCTGAAGTCGGTGGAGAAGTTCAACATGTCCACCAACGCTTGGAGTTTCGTCTCTGACCTGCCCCAGCCAACAGCTGCAGCCCCCTGCGCCCAAGCGATGGGGCGCATCTTTGTTTGCTTATGGAAGCCCCTGGACACCACCATCATCTATGAATACGAGCATCGGAAGGACGAATGGCTTCCCGTCTCAACCCTCAACAGGCCTCAGAGCTACGGCCATTGTATGGTGGCCCACAGGGACAATCTCTACATCATGAGGAACGGGCCCTTTGACGACTTCCTGCGGTGCGTGATTGACTGTTTCAACCTCACCACTAAGCAATGGACATCTTTGCCGGGGCAGTACATGAACAGCAAAGGGGCCCTTTTCACGGCTGTCGTCAAGGGGGACACGGTTTACACCGTCAACAAGATGCTAACGCTGCTGTACAGCATAGACGAGAATACGTGGAAATTCAAAAAGGAGAAGGCTGGATTTCCAAGAAGCGGTTCTCTTCAGACTTTCCTTCTCCGGCTTCCGAGAACCGATCACAGCATTGCGACTTAAGCTCTCCGGATCGTTCTCGCGTATAGAGACGTCTGACTTCTCATCCATGGACAAGACGCTCATGGTTTCTCTTTCCTTTCCTAGGGCTCCAGAGGTACAGCAAAAATTTGACCCTGGTTTGGACAGATTCTCCTTGTGGCTTCTGAGACAGCAGAACCTCGAAAAGAGGTGGCTTCGGGGTGACCCCCAGTGCAGTGTTTGCAAGACCTGATGTTCTGACTCCTGTGAACAGGTTCCTAGTTCTGTGGGTCTCGAACAATGGTCATTCCACGCGTGTGTTTTTTTACTTGAACTAGTAGGTGTTCCGGGAAGGAAGGTGTCACGGTATCGCCCGATCTCATCAGATCTCGGAAGCTCGGCAGGGTCAGTACTTGGGTGGGAAGCCACCAAGGAAGACTCTGCAGAGGAAGGCGGTGGCAAACCACCTCTGCCTCTCGCTCGCCTTGAAAGCCCCCTTGCTGGGTTGCCATAAATCGGTTGCGATTTGGTGGCCTTTACGTATGTAGTAGGTCCTCCGCTTTGGCCAAGGCTGTTGAGGCTTAGTAGCTAGAGGCAAGCAGAAGGAACCAGTTGTCGGCAGCAGAATACTTATCTAGAGGGTCACCTTCCCCTTCCTACCAGCTATGGCAGCTGCCAAGAATGGCCAAAGGGAATTGGCACTTGGCTGGACTCAATGAAGGCGTTGCAGGCTCATCAGGAGCCCAGAGTTATGGTGTATTCACCGGTTGGGGCCTCCATATGAGTTCTGGTCTACCATCATCTCCTCTGTTCAGGGTTCCAACAGATTGAGCTCGCTCTCATTTTCCACACTGGACTGCCTCAGTGTTAACATCTGGTTGGGAAACGTTTTAGGTCGTAGGGTTGCCAGCTCTGGTTTGGGAAGTTCCTGGAGATTCAGGGACGAAATCTGTGGACAGCCGGGTTTGGAGAGGGGAGAAAGCCAAGTGGGGTAGAATGCCATAAAGGCCATCCTCCAAAACAGGCATTTTCTTAGGGGAACCAATCTCTGTCGCCTGGCGATCAGTTGTAATTCTGGGAGATCTCCAGGCCCCACCTGGAGATTGGCAACCCTATGGGTGTCCTCAATAAATCAATGCTGATGCAAATTATTTGTCTACAATCGGAGTGCATTTTTGAGAATGTATTTTTTAAAGGGAAAAAAATCCAAAGAAAATCGACCACGCCTTTGCAGCATTGGGACTTGAATGCACCGTGAAGGTTGGTCTCCTAAGAACACTTTCCAGAAAGTAAGCCTCACCGAATAAACGGAGACTTACCTCCAAGTAGACTCGCTTAGGAACACTTCTGAAGTGTTTCAAAGAAAGCACTCACCGGCAATGCTCCCTCTAAGCTGTGGAGTCTTGTGAGCAAAAACTCTACTTTGTGAGCTACTGGCAATTTGGCTGCTGCATAAATCGGTTTGCTCTGGAGCCCTCCTTCCCGAGCGAAGACAAAAAATGTGTGAACCGGAGGCTAAAAAACTGTGAGCTGGCTCACACTATCTCAGCTTAGAGGGAACACTGCATTGCAGTGTGGTGCCATTTCTCACAGAGCTACAGTCGGCAACTTCAAGATGGGACCTGGAGATCTCCCGGAATTCCAACTGACCTCCAGAGCGCAGAGATCTGTTCCCCTGGAGGAAGCCGGTACTCTGGAGGGTGATCTTCATGGCATTATAACCCCATGGAGGTCTCTCCCCAGGCCCCACCCCAAATCTCCAGGGATTTCCCAACCCGAACTCGGCAAGGCTAACAGATCTGCTACGCTTAGTAGCCATCGTACAATGCGATCCTTGCAGGGTTACTCCATCCAAAGTCCATTCATCTCAGTGGAGCGTCGCTGAATAGGACCGCGCTCTCCGTCTCCAGCCATCCCGTAAACAAGTTGTGTGTGTTTTAGGTTCCCAGCAACCAAGGCCGAGATGGAGTATAAATAGACCCTCGTCAGGGGAATACGAGTGGCGTGATTATAAACACTCAGACGGAGCCGCAGCATGAATGCCCAGGCTGAACATATGCAGAAAACTATTTTGGACCCCCCCTCCCCACATCCAATAATTCTTAATGACATTCAGATGGTGCTTTTTAATGACTCATTAATGTTACGCACAGCCTCTGCAAAGCAGTAACGTAACCGTCCCCTTTGCTAACCCCTCTCTTTTCTCCCACCCGTGTAGTTGTGAACCTTTCCTTAAAGGTCTGGTCAGCTCGGCTCCCCAAAGGCGAGTTGTAAAAACAGCTTGCAGCTCTAGACTGGTTTTTTTTCCTGCAAGGACCGCTGGATCGGATTGTGGCTTGCAAACACCGCTTGAATAACTCTGGGGCATTTGTTCTCCGGTTGGGGGGATCGACAGGCTTTCGGCAGTGTGCCGCCAACAAGGGCGACGCTCCCATCACAGTTTTTAAAACTAGTTTGATTATCCTTCCGTCTTTGCTAGGAAGCTTTGGGCGTTGTAGACAGCCAGCTCGGTGTGTAGAGCCGACTTGGTGTACTGGTTAGTGTCAGACCAGGATTCGGGAGAACCAGGTTTGAATCTCCGCTTTGCCACGGAAGTTGGCTGGGTGACCTTGGGCCAGTCACACTTTCTCAGCCTACCTCACAGGGTTGATGTTCCGAGAATAAAATGGAGGAGAGTACGCCACCTTGGCTCCCCCCTCGGAGAGAACAGTGGGGTATAAATGAAGTTAAAGAATATATAAATAGTTCTGCAAAGGGAAGACTATCTGGGAATTCTCACAGAATTACAATTCCTTGGCTTCTCTATGGGAAAGTCGGTAGGGTTTAAAAAGGTATTGAAGTGATATGGATTTGTAGCACATGCGGGTGTCGTGGTTAAGAACGTCGGACTCTAATCTGGAGAACAGGGTTTGATTCCCCACTCCTCTCTGTGAAGTCTGCAGGGTGACTTGGGGCCAGTCGCCATTCTCTTGGAACTCTCCCAGCCCCACCTACCTCACAAGGTGCCTGTTGTGGGGAGAGGAGGGGAAGGCGATTGAAAGCAACTTTTAAGAAGGTAGAATAGGAGATGCAGTGGCTCAAGTGGTTAAGACGCTGAACTGCAGGCTGTGGAAGGTCAGTACTTCAGTAGTTCGAGACCCGGGTGCCGCATGATGGAGTGAGCTCCCATTTCTAGTTCCAGCTCCTGCCAACCTAGCAGTTCAAAAGCAAGAAATGGCAAGTAGATAAACAGGTACCACTTTGGTGGGATAAACAGGTACCACTTTGGTGGGAAGGTAACAGCATTCCGTGCGCCTTGGTGTTTAGTCATGCCGGCCACATGACCACGGAAACGTCTTCGGCTTTGAAATGGAGATGAGCACCGCAACCCTAGAGTCGGATTCGACTGGCTTTCGAGCAAGGGAACCTTTACCTTTAAGGTAGACAATAGCGGGATATTATAAACCAACTCTTCTTCTTTGTATACTTCAGGATTCTTCTGACCGCAAGTCTGTTTCCTTGTGGAGACTTTGCAATGTGAATGCATTGAGGCCTTGAATATTTTAACTGGTTCTGTTCGGTGATTAAAGACGTTTCCGTTGATTAACCATCTGCCTTTTACTTGATTAAATGCAGCCCCATGTTACTAGAGCCTCGATACAGATGCTCCTTTGAGGTTCCAAAGGAAGCATGAAACAGCATAGGGTTTATTTAAAAAAAAAAAAAGATATCAGTCCTCATCAGGAAGCTGTACAAAGGATGAAAAAGAACAATTTGTGCTTGCACATGAAAGCCTATACCTTGAATAGAAACTTTGTTGGTCTTAAAGGCGCCTCAGAGGCATCCTCAGAGGTATAACACAGAAAGATGGACACCTCTGTGTCAAGGTGAGAAGGAAAATGGTAAGCAGGTAATTTATATCTACTCAGGAAGGTGGGGTAGGTCTGAGTCATTCTCTTGTAGCCTTTCTGTGTTATACCTTTGAGGATGCCAGTCACAGCTGCTGGCGAAATGTCAGGTCCTACAATGCCAAGACCATGTCCATACAGCCCGGAAAATCTACAGCGGCTAAAAAACTAGAAATTGCTGCTAGTTTATGAAGACTTCCCACCCCAGATAAAACGTTACAGATCCTGCTTTGCTTGGGCCATTCGAAGCACGTGTTTAATTGACCCTTTTACATCAATGGAGTTTAGAAGCACTAGATCATGCCTCTGGTCTTCAGTTTGGCTAGATCATGCCTCTGGTCTCCAGCCCATCTTTTGCCAAAACTTGAAAGATCACACTCACCAGTCCTTTGGCATAAGCCATTTTATTGGAGAAGAAAAAGACACCACACTGTCTCAAGTACCTACAGGACTCACAATGGATGTTTGTTTTCCTTCACTACCTCCAGGCTGAATAGGGGACAACGTTGCCCCTTTCTCCCTGCATACAAGACACGGATACTTTTTATTTGGCTGAATCGGCCAGCCTCGAAGCAGATATTAAATAGCCCTAATCTCAAGAAAGAGGACAGTAACTCATTCACTGGTGGAGGTTGGACGGGGAAGGAATAAAGAATTACATCTGCCCCTTGAGAACGCTCTCTGTTTCTCATTTTTAAAATCGCTTGCAGCTGGCTAAAAGGAGCCGCACACCGAATTGCCGCAATTCTCCCAGTCTGACCAAAATTGAGAGTACCAACGTGGAGAGTTCCGGGGTGCGTGCAAAAGGAAAGGGGGGGGGCTCTTTCAGTGTGTGTGTGTGTGGATCACGCATCCTCTGTCTTCCTAGATGCTGTCTATGCATGAGGACTGAGCAGAACCATGGGCAGCGTGCCCTCTAAGCTGAGTTCGTCTGAGCCAGCTCACAGTTTTTTAGCCTCCAGCTCACACATTTTTGTCTTAGCTCAGGAAGGAGGGCTCCGGAGCAAATGGATTTATGCAGGAGCCAAATCACTCGCTCACAACTTTCATGCCAGGAGCTCACAAAGTAGAATTTTTGCTCACAAGACTCCACAGCTTAGAGGGAGCATTGACCATGGGATGGCTTTGTCGCACGGCCCCATATTCCGCTTTCTCCAGGGGAGCTGATTTCTGTCAGCTGGAGATCAGTTGTAAAAATGGGAAATCCCCAGGCCCCACCTGGAGGTTGGCAACCTTACACTATACCCCATTGCAGCCCCTCCCCAAACCCTGTCCTTCTCAGGCTCCACCCCCCAAATCTCCAGGGATTTCCCAACCCGGAGCAGGCAACCAGAATTTCAGAGTGTCAGATGCCGCGGCGGGGAGGCGGGGGAGTCCGATGATGGGTGGTCACCTTCTAGCTCAGGCCCGTCCCAGGAACAACTGGCTCTTGACAGCGGGAAGTGGAGTGCTAGACCAGGCGGTCATTGCCTGGTCCAGTGGGGCAGCTCTTACTGTCTTAGGTTCAACACATTTCCCATTAAGCCCGACACGCAGCAGTCCGCGACGCGTTCTTCTGCTCCTTCCCGGGATCACCTGGAGGCCAGCAGGAAGTTCACTGGGCGCGGGTCATGAGCTCCTCCAGCGCGTTATCGCCCTGGTTCTCACACAGGAGGAGGACCTCTTTGATGTCCGCTTGCTGGAAGCCCATGTCGTTGAACCGGGCCAGGAGATGAAGGAACTCTGCGGCCTGCAATTAAGAGCAGAGGGAAAGTTAAACGAACGAACGGGGAGGGGAAAACACTACGGGTTCCCCCCCAGCTGTTGGACAAGATCAGGCATCCAGGGGTCATTTTGCAGAAAAAGAGCTGCAGGAGCTCATTAGCATATCTAACAGGCTATTAGCATAATAGCTCATTAGCATATACCACGCCCCCCGAGATCACCGGAAGTGATGTCAGAAGGGGAAGCAAAAGGGGGGGAGGCATCTTCAAAAGTCTCCCCCTTCCCTTCCCCAAGGCAGGCTGGGGGGGGGGGAGCGAAGAGAATACAATAGAATACATAGAATACAGTGGAAAGGTGGCACGACTCTAGAGGAAAGGAGCTTGGGGAAAAATGGGGGTGAGGCTTGCCATTTGTGCCCGCTCCTGGGCTGCCAGAGCGGCGCTCCGGCACGCTCCGGCCTCAAATGACCCCGGCAGAAGACTAACAGTTATGCTCAGGCAGTAAGGAGTCCAGGGGGTGGGCACATGCAACAAGCCTCGCCCCCTGCTCCCAGCAGCCCTCAGTCAGGCCACAAAGAGCAAGAAGCAGCCAGGTAAGTTGCAGAGCCCCCGTTCCGTCCCACCTTCAGGTACAAGCTCTCCCTCCTCTGTGAGGGCAGATCGGCGCATCCCCCCCCCTCCAGCTAGCAATCCAAAACAGTCCAGTGGCACCTTTAAGACCAAGTTTTATTCAGGTAGAAGCTCTCCCTCCTCTGTGAGGACAGATCTGCATGTCCCCCCCCCCAACAGCTAGCAATCCAAAACAGTCTAGTGGAGCCTAAGCGGTGGATGTTGCCTTCTGACACACTTCTGGTGATGTCAGGGAGTGTGGCACATGCAAACAAGTTATGCTAATAAGTTATGCTAATGAGCTCCTGCACCTCTTTTTCTACGAAATGACCCCTGCTATCTCCAATATATCTAATTGCTTCTGATACAAGGCCAGATACATTTGTGGCCCCAGAAACAAATTTTCTGTTTGCGTGTCATTCAATTCCAGATTGGAACATTCCTGTTTTGGTCCTATATCAATGGTTTGCTGTCTTACAAGTGTAACAGGGGCTTTGCTGCATGTTATATTCCATACTATTTGACCTCTGAAGAAGGCTCTTGTGGGCTGAAACATGTCTGGTCATATATGGCTTCTTTGTGCATTTGTCACCTCGATTACTTTATAAGGCTTTATTTGGGACCCTACAAGGTTTGTATATGTTTTTGAAATGAACACATGTACTTTTGTCTAAACTTTTGTGTTTAACTTTTGGCCCTTTACTAGTTTTCTAAACTTCCTTTGGAGGTTGTCTTCTCCACCCTCAAATCTCCAGGTATTTCTGAACCGGGAGCTGGCAACCTCGCCTGGCCGAGGGCCCCTGCGAAACTGATGTCTGACCCCTCCCCCCCAGCTCCTGACCTTCTCAGAGTTCTGGAACATTTCCATGGCCTCCTCCACTTGTGCTTCGTCGTAGCCTTGTTTCAGCAGTTTGTCGCAGGCACTGAGGTAACTGAGAAACTGTCAAGGGGTGACAAAGGGGGAGGCGAATCAGACTCGGCGCCGAGCCATCTCCTTGGGAAGGTACCAGTCCTTCGGACAACCTGGTCAGCCTCCATGAAGGAGACCGAGAAGCAGGGCTGGCGTCTGCACATGCTGAGGCGGAGCAGTTGCTGGGGTGCAGGTCTCCTGGCGGGGTCCTCCCATACGCTGGGGTGCCTTTCCCTCTTCCGCTTTGCAGTGCTCTGACACCCATGCTCCCTGCCGTGTGCCCGGGCAGGTGAGTGGGTGGGAAGAGGGAGCAAACAGGGGCCCCGCGGTGGGCAGAGGAGGGGACCCCCTGGGTACTCTCTGCCCACCCCCCCTCCAAAAAAACCCTACTGAACTGGCCCTTCTGAGAAGCAAAGATCAGCCACTCTGCAAGAAGGGCTCAAAAAACCAGGATCACGAAACTGTGGGGGAAATCGGGCAAAGCCGCGAGTCAAAATGCAGCCCCGCAGCTTCGGGTGTGAAATTGACCAATAGTATCAGGGCAAACGGCCACGCAACATCGAGGCAGCTCTAGTGCGAAATCAGCCCATGTGTTAATTTCTCTTTGGGTGAAGAAGAAGGACTTCCTTTTCTCTGTCTCTCTACTGCTCACTATTCATGGAGTGCCCACGAGTTCTTGTACTGTGAGAAAGGGATAAAAGTACTTCTTTCTCTACCTTCTCTACCCCAGCATCGAGAGAAACAGACATTTCAATAATTAACACCCTCCCGCCCATGACTAGTTCTCATTGGGTGCAGGAAATGCCTCAATCGCTTCAAGAACTCATCGTTCAGCTGAAAATTTGAGGCTTATATGTGGGGGGAGGGTTTTTTTGCGGCGGAAAGGGAACAGACTGGAATTCCAACAGCTATATCAGCAGAGCCTCCATATTCGGAGGCAGTCAACCTTTGAAACCAAGGGCTAGGAGGCAACAGAAGGTGAAAGAAGGCCTCGGCCTCTTTCAGTTGTTTGCTTGGCCCTCCGGGGCAAGTGGTTGGCCACGGTGTGGACCAGGAAGCTGGCCTAGATGGACCACTGGTCTGATCCAACACGGCTCTTCTGATGCCCTTACGGTTCTTTCCCCACAGTCCAAGCGGCACATTAGAGCGCAAATTTAATTGGTCTCTTGTTCCTCCCTCCCCTCCTAACATCCCATCCAGATTTCCTTGGAATCATAATTCCATCTAATTAAAACGACCCTGGCAACAGTAGAGATGACCACAGTTCCCTTGTCAAGATAACCATCTATGAGTGCTTTATTCTCCGTGGGTGGAAAACATCACCACCAGCCAACCTTTGGAGGAAGGTTTCCAAAAGCCCTTTTTCTCTGGAGGTGCAGGGAACCTGACAGCAGAGTCGGGAACCAAGGCCAACAAAAATCTACCCCAGAGCTGCAAACGGCTGTATTGCTCCGTGCAAACTCCAACGCACAACCCTTTGGGTCAGCCTGGTTGGTCCTAATAAAAGGTGTGCCATGGATCTTGTTCTTGTTTTCAAAAATCTATCACCCGATCCTGAAACAGAGGATGGCAAGGTGTATGAGACCAGGGGTCCTCACCAAAACCTTTCCAGGCGTGGGGCTGGGCGGAGCTTATGCCAGCGGGGCTTCTGATTGGCTGTGTAGATTAAAAAGCACCCTGCTAAACAGTCTCTGCCTGAAGTGTTGAAGACTTCCTGTTAGAGTGATATATCAACCCAATCCCTGACATTTTGGGGTCAGCTCCGCCTCCGGCAGCATCCATTTTGTGATTGGCTCCACCCACTCTGGCAGCCATTTTGTGACAGTGTCTATTGCCCTGTGTCAGAATTCCAAAGGCTCCCACAGGCTGAAAAAAGGTTGAGGACCCCTATATTAGCGAGATGCAGCCCAAATGATGGAGTTTGTGGAGGCCTCTCTCTTCTCCCAGGTCTGGCAGCTCCCGAAAACATCTTCAGATTTAGGGTGGCATGGTGGGGGCTGGGTGAGTGGGTAGGTGAATCACCCTCGGGCATTGATGGTGCAATCCTAAACAGCGTTACACCTTTCTAAGGGCATCGAATTGAGCAGACTTAGAAAGGAGTAACTCTGTTGAGGATTGTCCAGGGAGGAAGGCACATAGGCATTTGTGTGCATGAACACCGAGCGCAACTCTTTGCCCTCCCCACAAGAAGCAACTGGGCCACGGTTGCTGCTGGAGCAATGAGCTATTTTCGGCCTTTCCCCATTGTTCTTGGAACACGGACAGCCCAATTCCCAGGGGGCGTCCCCAAAATAGCCAACGTGCTGTTCCCCAAGCAAAAGCAGGCGTGAGATGAGTAAAGATCTATAATCAGCTCGGCTTACAAAAACATCCACGGCGCACAAAAGACATGATTCTGTACCGGCACATTAAAGACTGGCACCAAACTCCCTTCCTCGAGAGGCCCAGTTGCACTGGAGGAGCCTCGCGTCGGCTCTGCAAAATGGAAAGGGGACTGACCCGTCTCGCTGGTGATCATCCAGACAAATAGTGGGGAAACGCCGAGTGGCTCTTAACGCACACAACCTTTGGAACTCACTGCTGCGAGGTGCAGTGACGGGCAGCAGATCAGATTGCTTTTTTCAAAAAAAGGGGAGGGGAACGAAACCGATGCATCAAAACGCATAGGAATCTCCGCATTCACCAGGGGACTTCTGCTTTCCAGCTCTAAGGACAGGCAAAGGCCACTGGCCCCGTATCCTGCTTACGAGGTTCTCAGGGGAACCAGCGACACAAAGCTGGGCTTGATTGGCCTTGAGCGTGAGCTCCCTCTAAGCTGTGGAGTCTTGTGAGCAAAAATTCCACTTTGTGAGCTGCTGGCATTAAAGTTGTGAGCGAGCGATTTGGCTCCTGCATCAATTGGTTTGCTCTGGAGCCCTCCCTTCCTGAGCTAAGGCAAAAATGTGTGAGCCGGAGGCTAAAAAACTGTGAGCTAGCTCACACTAACTCAGCTTAGAGGGAACACTGCTCCCCAGCTATATTTATTTGTCCCCAAAGGATAACTTCGGACAGCACCATTTGGCTGAGAACACCTCTGCCGTCAACTGGTAAATACACATTGATGGGGTCTGAACTGGCAGAGACTGATCAAGAGAGAGATCTTGGAGTCGTAGTTGATAACTCACTGAAAATGTCGAGACAGTGTGTGACTGCAATAAAGAAGGCCAATGCTATGCTGGGGATTATTAGGAAGGGTATTGAAAACAGATCAGCCAATATCATAATGCCCCTATATAAATCAATGGTGAGACCTCATTTGGAATACTGTGTGCAGTTCTGGTCACCGCACCTTAAAAAGGAGATTATAGCTTTGGAAAAAGTGCAGAAAAGGGCAACTCGAATGATAAAAGGGTTGGAACACTTTCCCTATGAGGAAAGGTTAAGGCGCTTGGGGCTCTTTAGCTTGGAGAAATGACAGCTGAGGGGTGACATGATCGAGGTTTATAAGATTATGCATGGGAAAGAGCAGGTAGAGAAAGAGGTACTTTTCTCCCTTTCTCACAATACAAGAACTCGTGGGCACTCCATGAAATTGCTGAGCGGTCGGGTTAGAACGGATAAAAGGAAGTACTTCTTCACCCAAAGTGTGATTCACACATGGAATTCACTGCCACAGGAGGTGGTGGAGGCGGCTACAAGCATGGACGGCTTCAAAAGGGAATTAGATAGGCATATGGAGCAGAGGTCCATCAGTGGCTATTAGCCACAAGGTATAGATAGGGGCTCTGGGGCAAGTGATGCTCTGTCTTCTTGGTGCTTGGGGGGGCCAACAGTGGGAGGGCTTCTAGTGTCCTGGCCCCACTAGTGGACCTACTGATGGCACCTGGTATTTTTGGCCACTGTGTGACAGAGTGTCGGACTAGATGGGCCTTTGACCTGATCCAACATTGGCGTCTCTTATGTTCTTAACATATAAGGCTTCAAAAGGGGATTAGACAGATTTATGGAGGACTGGTCTATCGGGGGCTACTAGCCCTGGTGACTAAAGGGAACCTCCACCTTTAAAAGCAGTCAGTCTCTGAATCCCAGTGCCAGGAGGAAAGGTCAGGGGAAAGTCCTGGCCTCTGTGCCCTTTGGCTGGCCCTCCAGAGGAACTGGTCGGCTACCGTGCAAGACGGGATGGGGGACTAGATGGGCTTCCAGTGCTCTGATCCAGCGGGGCTGGTAAACAACAACAATTGCTTGTTTATCATCAGGGCCACCTCTGCTGTTTCTCGATACCGGCCGAGTCCCCGTGCCCCCCCCTCCCGCTATACAAGCCCAACTAACCTGCCCCAGGCTTTGCTTCCCGGTCTTCTGGAGCGCCAGGATGGCCCTGCGGATCGGATAACCCAAGGCTAAAACGGGCT